TGTTCTTTCACACGAAGACCTCGCCCATCTTGTCAACAAGGCCAAGAATACCAACATGCCTGCCGCCAATGCGAAGAAGAGGCCCATAAACGACTTTAGCCCACGGGCGCCGGAGCTGACTGATGGGTATATGTTTGACGAGGTCAAGCGCACTCGATTCAACGTTTTCGCTCATCAATCTACCTGGACCAACTCGCGCATGTCTTGCCCAGCCGACAGCCCAGCCAAGACTCCCGATGACGACGAGCAAGGAGATGACCGCAGCAGATATGGCTATAGCGAGCTTGGATTCGTATATAACTCCACGGCCATGGCTGATATCTGCTTGACTCCGTCACTGAGCTCTTCCTATGGCTTCTTTGATAGGCCAAACGCTTTCAACGTCGTCCATGATTTATTCCCCATTTTCTCACAATCCAAGATCTCCTCATTCTCCGATTTAATGTACCCTTCGCCTTGGTATTGGTTCGATAAAGTCGTATATGACGAGGCCAAGGACTTTCCATGGGAACAAAAGGACAACAAACTTTACTGGCGCGGCTCGACTACTGGTGGGTTCAGTCGCAATGGCGGTTGGAGGCGACAGCACCGGCAACAGTTTGTTCACAAGATCAACGCCCCAGATCAAGCCAAGATCTTGGTGAACAAGGGTGACGAGGAGCAGCCAAACTGGCGAGTCTCTGAAGTCCCTCGAGGCAAGCACCGTGATCTCATTGATGTGCATTTCTCTCACATTGGCCAATGCGATCCTGGTGACTGCGAGGCCCAAATCCAGTATTTTACCCCAACCGATCACGTTGATCAGCAAGATGCTTGGAAATACAAGCACTTGCTTGATATTGATGGAAACGCCTTTTCTGGTCGCTTCTATGCCTTTCTCCAGAGCCATAGTGTGACATACAAGCTAGCCCTTTTCCGCGAGTGGCATTATGAGTGGCTCAAGCCCTGGGTTCATTATGTCCCTCTGAGTCTGCACGGGGACGACTGGCTGGAGGTTGTCCGCTATTTTGCAGGCAGTAGTGCCGGGGATGCGGATGCAAAACACCTCGCAAAGTCCAGCACTACTTGGGCAAACCGAGTGCTACGAAAGAAGGATATGGAAGCCTGGTTCTTCCGATTACTTCTCGAGTAGGTTATTTCCTCCCTCATTCTTAAAAGTTCACAACTAACAACTCATATAGGTACGCACGGGTAATAGATGATAACAGGGAAATCATTGGATATGATCCTTCCAGTTCGACTTCGAAACTGAAGAAGACGAACAAATAGATTAATGAGGCTTGTATAAATGTCTTGGTTATAATTGGTCGTCATTTGGTTTTGTTCCTCAGCACATATAGCGAGCAGATGGCATAATCTTTTGGGAAATTGGGTAGACGGGCTTACCCACTTGGCCGGAGTTTTTTTTGTTGTTTTTCTTCATATCTTTTTTCTTTGTCACTACTACCCTTTTCACTTCACTGACGGCGGCGGCGTACATTTTTGGGAGGTTTGAATAGTACATAAAGCGAAGAGCTCGCGTGGTCGATTGGATGACCTGACATGATACTCGGACACAAGCACACCCTCACACCAACATTTACATACGAAACACATTCACCACATGGCTACCATTAAAGATAATGTAACCACTTTATATATAGAGACACGCTCTTCCAAAAATTCATTTCTCAAGAATTATGAAAAATTTAAAAACAGCCCTAAGCAAAGAAAAGAAGTATGAGATACATAAACCAAATATGAAATCAATTATTTCGCCTGATCGCCTTCGTCTCATGGATAAAGAAAATCCACCTGGACCGTGAAACGTATGCCGTGGCTCTTTGTTTTTTATAAACCATTTTCGCTGATGGAAGTTATCCTCGTTACCTATTCTTCTCCCTCTTTTTTATAATGCGGAGTTAATACATTTGAATTAGGTTGAAAAAGATGGCAGTCCTGTTTTAATCATCCTCTTCCTCACCTTCGGCGTCCCGGTCCTCGCCCTCTGCGTCCTGGCTTGCCTCGCGCTGGTCCTCGCCCTCCTCCTCGTCCGCCCACTTGAGCGGGTTGAGCTTGTACCGGTTCATGGCGTCCTTCATGCGCTCGTTGGGGTCCTGCACCGTGACGTCGAGGCGCTCGACGATCTGCTCGTCCTCGGCGCCGCCGCCTCCGACGGTGCGGGCGATGTTCTTTGTGCGCTGGGGCCGGATGGTGGACTTTTGCAGCACGGGGTAGTAGTAGACGGCCTTTTGCCTGGGGTACTCGTCGTCGCCGCACGAGGCGAGGAGGATCTCGTACGAGTACTTGGAGCCGTGGTCGAGCTCGATCTCCTGTGCCGTCTCGTACTCCCTCACGCGGTTGAAGTGGAAGCACCCCCCGCCGTCGGCCTGGTGGGTGTAGAGGTTCTCGCTGTCGCGGTCCGGGTTCTGCACGTCGAACTTGCGGCGGAACTTGTCGCCGGTAGAGTTGCTCTGGGGCAGGAAGAACTCGTAGTTCATCAGGTTCTGCGGCTTCGGGTACGTCTCCGGGTCCTGCTGGTGGGCCTCGAGGGCGGCCTCGTACGCGCGGTCCTCGTCCTCGGTCCGGTCGATGGGGCGGAAGAGCGACGAGAGCAGGCGCTTGTCGTACTCGGTCGAGCTGGCGACGGGGTTCGTGGCAAACTTGATGGTCACGAAGGCGCCCGAGTCGGGGAAGGCGTCGAGGTCGGGGATGAGGGGGACGGCCTCGAGGAGCTGGGCGTTCCGCTTGGTGGGGTGCCTGACGCGCTTGGGGTGCTTGAGCTCCTCCTCGGCCAGCTCGAAGCCGCGGTCGATCTTGCGCTTGATCGCTGCAGGCGAGTCGGCGGCCTGCTCGGGGGCGCGACGGGGCTTCTTGGATGTGTTGAGCAGCGCTCGGGGGTCGCCGGCGTCGTGGCGCTTGGACGCAAAGTTGGAGATGTATTCGGTTCGGCGAAGGAAAGAAACTGTAGCCTCTGCGACCTTCTTCTTTCCGAGGGCGGCAATTGGCCTCAACAAGGCTCTGTCATGGGGGTGGACTGCTGGTTGATGTGAAGGGGCTTGGATAGCTAGAGAGAGGAAATAATGTCAGTGGTAAGCCAAGAAGAGCCACCGGCAAGCTGTGCCGACGGCGTTCGAGATGCTTCGAACATACTACTCTCATCGCCATCGAACACGCCGGGCATGCCCACCAAGTCCAGGGGCATGCCCAGCTCGGCATCAACCTCGATGTTCAAGGGCTGCTCCCTGGCGAGCCGTGAGGCGAAGCCCGGGGTTGTGTACTGGCCACTGGCAAGGCCAGTGTTGGGGATGTCGAGAAGCTTCGGGGGGTGCGGCGGCGGAGGAAGGGCATTGGAGAATCGGATGCGAGCTATGAAGTCCTGATGGATCATGCGCTCGCCGGATCGCGCAGACGACATGATGGGAGCTGTCGCGCTGCCGCAGGGGCGCAGCTGGCGAGCTTTGGGTGTGTGCACAAGGCGCAGACGCGTGAGTCGACGTTAACCAGTGTGCAATTCCGGTAGCGAGCGTCAAAGGGCGAGTGTGATGCGGTTTGGTGTTGTTGGGTGGTAGGAATCAGAGTTGGCGAAGTGGTGAGAAGTGAGTGCCTTTGTTCTTGTTGCATGTGGCCCCGGCGCCGCTTGTCGAAAAATCGACTCTTTGGGAGCGGCGCGCTTGTGGCTCTTTCTCACGTCTCACCTCACTTCAATTGCATTGTTCCTCGCTCCCAATCTGCACACTCTCGCTCACAGCTCTGTTTCTATAACCCCAAACTTCAGACTTTTACGTATACACGAATTTTATCCGCCTGGCAATTGATGCGCGCCTGATAGAACAATTAGACAGGTGCACATGCGGTGTCCAGCGCCTGTTTCAACACTATGTGACAGGACCCACCGTCGCCTTTGTCATACCAAGACATGGCCATTGAATGAGATCTCGAGTATGGGGGTAATTCTTAATGTATTCGTCTACACTTAAAAACATGAATATGAATTGATGTCCAAAATTCTCGCGCGGTATTCCAACTTTGGGAATCTTCGGCCGACTAGAACATCAGCTCACCGCATCGCTATGATATGCTTATCGACTTTTAGTATATGGAAGCCTCACGGATCCTGTGACGACAGTCTAGCCTAGACTGAGTCTCTTGAATAGCCCGAAACCCCCAAGGCATGACTTCTTTAGAAGTGATACGCAACGGGACCCAGGAGTTCTGAGAACAAAAACCAAAAGGGGATACAGAATCTCAGATCCCCGAAGTTCCCCCCTGCCCATCCCTCCCGACCACAAAGCGAATCCAGATACATTTATATGCCAACATTCCCTGCCGCTTGCTACATTGACGACTTGCGGCCTTATGTTCCCGGAGATGGTGAACGTGGTGGGGAGATGAGTCCACAGTTGCCGCACACCATAGCCGACTGTTTCGTATCGTGTTCGACATTTGCGCACATTGGACTGTGGAAGAAACTGTCACCCTCCCAATGGCCACAATAATAGAGAGTGGTGATTACCGAGCACATCTTCTGGTCCTTGTTAGCACGCAAAGGCCTAATATCAACGAACGATCAACCATACCTCTTCAAATGCTTTACCTAGTGTCACTAGGTGTAGCAGGGGATAGAAACATGAAAATAATATGAAGCCTGTAAGCGTAGACGGCAGGCGAAAAGAGAGATGGAAGGGCGGGAGATGTCAGAAGAATTCTATGACTTGAACACCGAGTCGCTGTACGCCTGGTAGGCTCCTATGAAGCAGGTCAACGAAGCAACGCTTGTAGAAGCTGAATATTCGAAAATGGTATCGTGGAGCGGCAGTGATCTTCAACCGAACTGTATTGTGAGCGTAAGCTTGTTTTCTGATTTACTGATGGGTGTCTATCTTAGGCCTTTATTAACTTTCAAGCTTAACCAGCCCCGAGAGTTGATGATTGCTGATCAAGAGTTAAACAGAGTGCCCTCAGTGTGCGGGTGCAGAATACCCTGGGCACCGAACAAGTCCTCCTGACAAACAAACTCCTCATGAGCCGCATTGCCCGTCCGGCTTCCCCTCGTCCTCTGGTTTCTCCTCCTTGAACATCAGTTCCAACCGCCTCTTCCTCTCTTCATACAACCGGGATATACGAGCCAATACTAGTATTAATTAGTAAAAGTCATGCAAATAAAATTAAGCCGTGATCGCTCACAGTTTCTCACGTAATGAGTTACGTGAGGGCGCGCCACGCGCCAGCGAGCCTCCCACTCGCTGCCCTCATGTTTCTGCTTGATCTTGACCTCGAGGATCCCCCCTTCACCATCAGCCGGCTTGATCCCTCTGCGGGTGAAGAGAAAATAGTCCTTTCCAAAAAGCACGGCAGTCATCTGCATGTATACGCCATCTGGGGCGGAAAGCAGAGAGTTGGAGAGCGCTTCACCCACGACGGACCAAGTCTGGGAACGAGTCTGCTCGGTGTGCGATTTCCCCACACTCTCCATGATCTTCTCCAACTTCGTCGGTTTGAAGGACAGTACGATATGTTCCCAGTCGGCAGGGTTCGGAAGAGAATTGTTGGTGAACTTCAGAGAAATTGAAGGTTGGGGTTCAGAAACGGGTTGGGTTTCTGAAGAAGCATTAACAGACTTGTCCATGTTTTCTTGTGCCAGTTTTCTGGTAATTGATGACCGAGACGTCTAAACAGTAGTGAAGTATTTGGTGGGTGTGTTGAAGCTTTGGAGTGCAGAGTGCAGATTGCTTGAGTGCAGAGTGTAGACTGGCAAGTGGGAAGGGTGAAGGCTAATTAGGTCCCTCATGCAAAGAATTGCCGAGAACAAGCGGTCGTCCCCGGCAATAATTTGAGAGGTAGACGTTTTTAAAGGTACCAGTTTCTGCCTAGAAGTATTGTGCTGAGGTAGATGCCTAGGGGTTGATGGCAACTGGCACACTCTAGCTACTCAGTACTAATAGAAGCTGTGGCCCGCTCGTCGGTTTCAAAGTGAACAGATGAAAATTCAAATGCAGTAATCATGAATTGAACTACTTGCAGAGAAAGAACTAAAAAATATCATCAATGTTTCTTTATAGGACGCGAGCACTGGGCATCCCTGGGTAGATTTGGCAGCCAAGTGACTGCCCAACCCATATACAGCTACGACTAATTTCCCAAGAATAGGTACCTTGAACTGGAATTTTTAAGGAGAATCCATTTAGGATTCGCCTACAATCAAGCTGGGCGGTTTACTCAAATATCCTCATTCGAGACTATCCTCAACTAGGGCTCTAAATTTGAATGGGTGAACGGAATTGGCATGGAACAAGTTTGTCGTTCAGGAACTTGCAACATTTACAATCTCTTCCCATAGGGCCCCCGCTTCTGGAACACCCTCATTTAATTCACATCTCCAATGCCCCTAACCGAAAATCCTGTGCAAGTTCTGGTAAAAAGCCCCATCCTAATCGCATCCTGGTCTAGGGTACGCCGTGTATATCGAGACCCTCCACGTCCGTCACTTCGCATTCTTGGGTCAAATAAATATATTTCTGGTGTCCTGGTATAGGAAACTTACTCATTAGTCCTTCTTATTGTTTTTACGATGGTACATTTGGATCAGATTTTGGTCTTGGCGTACAAGCCTCACTTTCAGGAGCACTAGATGAGCTTCAACAACGCTCAAGTGGGCTTTCAGCCAGTAGAAAGATATCCAGGCTGAAATCTCATCAGTACCTGAATATTCAAGAACTTCTAGGTTATAGAAGATTGGATCTACTTTCGACATTCTCACAGGTAATGAGTTTGGACGTCGACGAACCACTATTCCACCCAACATATTTACATATATAGGTAGATCTAGAAAAGTGTTCTTCACACTGCCTAGATTTCTTGTTGCCAGCCTTAGCAAGTGTATTCTACCTGAGCCTTCTATCTAGACTTTTTGCTGGCCAGACAATCACGCTACCTACCCCTGAAGCCCCAAACGTGTTTCTAGGAACGAAGATTCCTATTGGTGACCTCTAGAATTATCCCTCCTCGATGCGTTGAAGAAGCAACCAAACCTACCTTGGGACAAGTGTACGAAGGAGCCATAACACGGTGACTCATATCCTAGCCTGCTGATTCACATTTCGTTTGAGTCGTTTCTGCACCTCCGTTTACCAATTCATTTGACAGCAGACTTACCGTGACCATCTGAGATCGCCGCACACAGATCCCCTTGTGATTATCACAGGATTATGCCAAGTTACCTATAATAAGAGTGTGATGTTTGAAGGACGACATCCGCTGATCTGCAACATCCCAGATCAGCATGCACCCCCTTTCACCGGAGAGACACCAAGACTGGCCATATTCAATCGTGATGTGCCTAGTCATGTTTCCAATCATCTTCTGAAGGGCCGACTTTCCCCTCTGTTTTGTCTGACCTGGATCTATCATAGTGGAGAGGATGCATGGTTTCTTTGCTGACAGCAAGTGGAAGATGGTGTTTTATCCCGTACCTGTGCCAGCATTAGGGCTTTTGTATGCCATTAGATGTGGTCCTGCAGGCGTGCTAGGAGGCATCGCTTCAGATTACCCCTTGATACGTGACGATCTTGAAGTATACCATATACACCTCTAAATTCACACCAGAATGCAGCCTGTTGTCATATCCCTGCTGGCATAGTTGGAGTGAATGATTTCAACACAGCTAATATAACTTGGTGGGAATACTCAAGTAAGTCGTAAATAAAATCGCATCTGGTCATCTGCATCTTATCATCCATGGTTAAATATGGCAGCCTGGAGCACAACGTTTCGTCCTGAGCTCCAACCGGGTTCGAGTAACTGAAGAAGTAACGGAGTGAATTCCTGTATGAGTCTCAGTCAAAGACTGCATCATTTGACTAATAGCTTCATCCAGGCTGTTATAATTATCCATCCATTTGAGTTTGATTCCGAAGTCAATCACATCTAGCCTTCCGAGATGAAGAACCTCCAGAGTATCCGGAAGAGATTCTTTCAAAGGTATAGGCTCGGCTCCGAAGCCTGCGAGACATACCATAGGTATGGATAGTTCTTTAAGTCGTTCAAGCTCGGACAAGCGGCTGAAAGATCCCCGAATATCCATCCCCACAGGCGCTCTGTCGTAATCATCATCTCCGACCACAAAAGAAAGAACCAGCGTTTCCAATGTCTCCTCGACGAGTGATACCGCTAGAAAAATCTGGTCATAGTCTAGAACCGTGAATTCACGCTCTTCGTTGACATCAGCGTGATAGATCCAGCGCCAGGAGAGTGATTTCAGGTTTGGTGTGAGGAGAAGCACTTCAGCTAGGACAGAGCCAATAGCCCACTCGATATGCAGCGAAGTCAGGCAGTCGAGATTAGGTTCTCCTCTTGGCCACTCAAATGGCTCATTCGTCATCGACACGGACATATCCGTGATTGTTGGTATGTGAAAGAGAGATGCAACGTATTCGACAATCTGATTTCTCTCCCAATTTCCACGATCCATTCTCTTGACATAGCTCATTGTTTTAAGCCGCTCAAATGCAGGCAGCTCGCCGAAAACTTTAGACAAAAGGACTTTGCCGAGAATGTCGTCCCCGTTGATAAAGTTATGGGTGATTCTTAGGCTGGTAATCTTGGAAAGATTGGCAATCAGGAGACCAGCAAATGCATCCATGTTGCCCGACTTCAGACCATCGATCCAGGTGCTGGCATATGGCACCTGACTCTCATTGATAATATTAATGAATTGATCAAGTGGAATGCCAGTTGTATTCAAGGATGGGCGCTCTGCAGTATCTGACAAGTACTCTCCAAATAGGTAAATCTCATCTATGAGGACAACCAATTCTGGACTCTGAACAAGAGTGCGGATCAGAGGACTGATCGAGGGGTTTGGATGTTCTCGGTCCCATGTTATCTTAATACTGGAATAAAGATGAGGTACTGCAGACCGGTGGAGCCCCTTATTGACGAGGCATAGGTTCGCAAAATCGGCTCTTCGTATGACGAATCTTACGATGTTGTCGATGACTTCGGCTGGGGCATCGGAAAACCCCGCCATAGTGTTTGGATTTGGTGAATTATCATCTGGCTCTTGGGAAAGAGCACAAGCGCCTGGAAAAGAGGAGGATGCAAATCGGCGGCATTTGAAGAATTTATGACTAGGTAGAGGGGCTAAAAATAGTCCATAGACCAGTGAGTAAGGTACTTGAGTTTAGTAACTGCAGGATATAGGTACGGTTGGAAGGATGATAATTGAGCACTAAAGTTTATTATCTACACATTATTCTGCACCCCGCCGCATGCAGATACGTCGGTAGGTCACTCACTGACAACAGCTACATAAATCAGCTCCCTGAAAATACTCAGTTGCCATGGATGACGGCTAAGTCCCTAGTACCTCTCGAGAACAAATTTATCCCTTTAATTCAGAACTCGAACATGAGCAAGATTCACTGTAGGTGTTATGATTGAGATTCCAATTTACACCGTAGTAGGAAGCTTGATATTGTTATCCACGCCGACGACGACCTCCTTGGTGTTGCCCTCCGTTCCCCCCTTTCTGATTCTTGTTTGGGTATTCTGGTGCCCGAGTATTAGCTCGTTTAGTTGAAGCTTGCACAGTTGGTTGAGGCACCACCCCTGGTTTATAAGGTGTGGCAACCGATGGATTCGGTGTGATGGGAGGGATGCTGGATGTAGGTGTAGCTGAAGCTTTCACAGTTGGCTGAGGCACCCCCCCTGGTGTAAAGGGTACAGCAACGGACGGATTCGGTGTGATGGGAGGGACGCCAGATGTAGGTGTAGCTGACGCAAAGACGTTTGGCCCCGAGCTCTGGCCAATGGTGTCCGAGGACCCCTTCTGCTCAGGCACAGCAGGCTTTCCTCGTTGATTGAGATATGGCATAGACTCGGTGTCACACAAAGCATAAATCAAGATGCTCATTGTTGAAGAAGGACAGTAATAGAATAAACGGGCACCGGGCTTGAATCTTCTGATCCGGTCCCAGTGCCCATCCTCTTTTTGAGGAATCAATGCTACCAAGTGGTACAATGACTGTGATTTGCCAGTAGGCAAGGCGCCTTGCGAAAAATCAACGAGGCCGGTAGAAAGTCTGAATTGTGATCGTATATTTTTTCCAACTTCCATCTTGGCAAGCACCCTTAGGAAAGCTGGTCGAGTGGAGCTGACAAGTATTTTGGATCCCTCAAGGCTTTCTTCAGGGATGTTGAAGCGCGTGTTGATATCATACTGAAGAGGCCCCTCTGATGCATCCCAGTCTAGAAGAGGGGCATTGCATTGTATTTCGAGCTCCAAATAGGGCGAAACAAATTCGTATTCGGGTCTCGTGTTAGCACGGAATCGCAAAGACGGAACTCGTCACGAGCCCAGAATGCTGCCATAAAATCCGAATTCATCATCGACTCCATATTCCCAAAGCCGTCAAGTTTCAAGGAACATTCCTCAATATAACCTTGGGTAACGAGATATTCTCTCTCTGCCAAGGCTGGTCGCATAAGTAATTTCCAGGCGCCTAGTCGATGAAACTCGGATGAAGCACGATCAGGCCCAACTTGAAGTGTTCGCACATGGAAAATGCATCGTAAAAGATTTAGAAAATCACAAACTGTTTCAAAATCCTCAATAAAGACATCGTCTGCTCTGACGGCAGGCATGGTATTCTCCAAATTTGTTAGCACGTTATCGAGGCCTGGTTTAGGCATGCCGAAAAGAGAAGTGTCGAAAGGAGTAGTAACGGCTGGGAGCCTTCCGATGGTGGAAGGGGTCTCTGGAGATAAGTCGTATTTGTCTATAAATCCAATGCCGTTAATTTCTTTAACAGGTGCCGTTGCGACTGCCAGCCTGGCTCTTTGCGTGGGTTCATGGGTGGATTCATCCAGAAGCCTGGCTTCAGAATACTGGTTCTCATGGTCTACCGTGAGACCTCGCCAAACTCTCCACAGAGAGTATAGTAACTCTCGTGGATCTGAGTCGTCGTGAATTCTTAGCCACCAGGGGTAGCCGCGATGAGCTGGGAGGCATGGGCCATACAACGAGACTGAGTTATCAAAGCTATGATTAGCAGTTGAAACATAAGAAGATGGTGCGATAGGATTGAGACCGGGCAAATCTGCATATCAAGACTTCTTACTCACCGATTCTGACCCACACGTCCCGGTTCAATCTCTCCGAAAATGCATAACAAGACAAGAAGTTCGTCCCTTCGCTCACTAGAGAATTCAACATTTGCACCAGCATCGATTTCCGGATTCCTTCAATATCCTGAAAAGACAGGGAAAACCCCTTCGCGAGGTACCTATGTTGTAAGTTGCGGCTCTCGAGTGATGAACGCCATTTTAGATCCTCTCCACGCGTCAAGAGAATGGAGTAAATCTCCTCAGTTTCTTTCCACCGAGACGAGTTCTCCATGCTGGACGAGATTGCGAGCGTGTAGCCCTAGACCGAGAAGTGCGTTGCAAAGCCGAGAATAAAAAAAAGCCTTGAGATGTGGCGATGATGATAAGTGATGAGAAGGTGAGAGTAGGGCGAAGAGAGTGCTTTTGGCAGGTAGGTAGGTAGGTGAGGTGTTGTGTGTTGTTGCTACATGAGGCTCGATACCTTATTTCTCAGGCAACACTGCTAGTAAACGCACCGTTCTGCCTCCTCTACATTAGCCCCCGAGTAAAGCCTCGCCGCTCATGGATTAGAAACAAGCGAATGCTCTAGAGTATTGGCGGGGGTATTCGTGGGTAGAATCCTGAGATCGTGGTCATCTCTAGCAATGACACGACCTGATATTGAAAAGCAGAATAATCTAAGGCGTTTAGGCTTCCACTTAGAAGGGAGTTTATTTTCCTCATCTGAGCAAACCTCTCTATATGGATCGAATGTGTCTTTTCATTTGCTGTCGTTGGCGGGGAATAGGAGTTGGCCCTGGTGCTAACTCAAGCAGTGCCTTCAGAAATGAGAAGTCAATCTTGGCCTAGGTGTCTGTATTTCCAGGGGCACAGGGTTATCCAAACAAGAAATCCGTGAATTTGCTCCTGACTGGCAAACCGCCCACTAGGTACCTCTGATTAGTGTGTTCTCGTAGTTGGTAGGGTGGGATACGCAGGAGGTCAACCGTTGCTTCTTTAGTCGCCTAACCCTCTTACTGGAGGAATCTGTTCTCGATACTCGATAGTTATTGCAAGCCAGTGTTTGATTAGGGCACGACATAGGAAGAAAGATGTGGTAGGAGGATTCGCGATGTCCTATTAATCTCGGTAGCGTCTTGTGGACGAGGAGGGGATCCTCCCCACACAACCCACCTGTTGCGATCAGCAGGTAGCCGATAGATGCGAAAGCGAGCACTTTTGCGAGATGCTTAGAAACCGTCCAAGAAGTCTTTTTCGAATAATATGGGTTATCATTATGAGGCTGGCTATCGTGTGAAATTCGCTTTCCACCAAGCCATCTCCGCGAGTCTCACTCATCTATAGTTGATACACATCGTCGTTACCCATCCAGACGGTGCTATTTGCTTCCTCCTAATAATTCGATTTCATGAATGGAAAGAAATAACACCCAATCCCAAGATCCCAGCCATGCAACACCGGTAGGTGTGGTCGGTAGTACTGTTACATGCCGCGCGCAGCCTATTTTTCAAGGCCTCGAGGCTACCCAATCGCAAGACACCATATTCTCTTAAAGCCAGTGGCTCTACGAGCTGTTCTTGGAGTATTTCTTCTTGCCGAAGGAGAAGGGGACATAGCGGTACTTGATCATGTGCTGGATTTGCTGACGCACTGCATGGGGGGTTAGCATTTTGTTGCCAAGGCCTGCAAACCTGCTAAGGGGGCAACATACTAGTAAGGAAGAAGAGGACCATCCAGTAGGTGACCAGGACAGGCCAGAACACGGGGATATCGAAGAAAGGAATCCAGGCGGCGACGAAGCTGAAGAAAATAGCGCGAGTGGCCCAGTACCAGAACTGAAACTCGGGAAGGCGGCGGATGAAGGGCCTGAACTCCTCATCCTGCCTGGTGGGGAGAGTTCCCACGGAGCCATCCTCCATCTCATTATCGATTGCATCGTTCGAGGGGTCAATCTTGGGCGATAGGAATGCCAGGAACAAGTTGAGGAGATAGATGGCGAGGGCGTAGGCGACTGTATAGTAGCAGTTAGTTCTCTGCGCTCGATCTCAGGTCGGCTGCGGATAGCATGGGAGGTTCGACGCACTGATGTACCAGCCCTGCGCGACGAGGATGCGGGCGGCGAAGATGATCAGCAAGAAGCCAGTGGTGGCCCATCGGTAGGCGACGAATGGGGTGGACTGATCCAGGATTGCTTGGAATCGCTAAACGGCGACTATTAGTACGCTGCCTGGTGAGGCGCTCGCGACCGGAAAACACACCTGCTGAATGCGGGAGCTGTGCGCAGAGACAGCCTCGAAAGGGGTCTGCTCGGGCTCCTTTCCGTCCATGATTAATTTGGCGAAGAAGAAGAGTAAAATATGTAAAAGAATGAGATCGTAGAGATTAAGAAGCGAGTATAGAAAGAAGTCGCCGCGATAAGTTGCGTTGCAGGGAGGTGGAAGTGGACGGATAGTGAGGGAATCCCTTTTTGCGATGAGGCAGCCACGATTTTCTGTTAAGCCACGTAGAGCTTATCGCTGATATTCGGCGTGTAGGTACGTGTTGCACTTTGCCAGTGGGTTCGACCCAATTGGGGCCAATTGGATAGGACCAATTTAATCTCACTGCCCCCCTGAGCTGCAGTACTCGAGCCCCACCAACATGACCTACAGGCCCTGTTCACTGTCCTGAGAGCTCAGCCACATAGGTACACTCTGCATGTTGTGCATAGTGCTGCTCTTAGACAGGGTCCGAGGACAAGATGCCCCTGATGAGAGAGGCTCTATTTGTGCGTGATGTGTTTGAATCATTGACCATTGGATGGCGGATGTCCCAGAAAAGTGCTTACAATGAACAATGAGACTTTTTCTTTTTCTTTCCTTTTTGTCCCAAGAAGCAGGTCCGTCTTCATCGGGACGGGTGGCTTGTGATCAAGGACACAATTTCACCAAGAAGAAGAAGGGACTCAACTAGGTACATACCTAAGTAAGAAGACTCGGTCTTCTATTTAGAACGACGTACACGTTTAGCAGTCATTCCATCTCGTCGCAGCTACCGACGGGCCGACCGGTAGCATGACAGATGCTTAGAGCCTCTTTCAAGGTCTTTGAGCGGGGCCCCGCATTAACCGCTCTACCCGGCCAATCAGGCCAAGAGAGTCAGGCTGCATTACCCTCGGTTTAAAGTGATTGCCAATTGCGTCACTAACCGAAAGCTATCAACTGAGCTTCTCTTCGGTCGGTTTAAATCACAAGCCAGCGACCCAGCTTTTAACATTCCGCAATAGCCTCAAGTTTTGGTTACCGAAACGTGCTCGTAAACGCTTGGTCCAATCGTTTCTCCCTTTGCTCCGCAATTCGATAGATTCTACTCTGTCATCTCCTTCTTCCCCTCCCTTGTCCCTTCTCGTGTCTATATCTGCCCATTTTCCATCATGATGAACTCTCTGCGATGTTTGAGGCCAATTGCCCACCGAGTCCCATTCCAAAGGTCTACTCTCCCTATCATGGCACGAGCCTACAGCTCCAAGAGTTATGAGTTCATCCAGATTTCCCAGCCAAAGCCAGGAGTTGGTCAAGGTAGCTCACACAAGCCCTCCCAACACCCACCTTGATGTAGCATTGTTTTCTTACACATAATCATGCAGTCACACTAAACCGACCCAAGGCTCTCAATGCGCTCTGTACGCCACTCATCAATGAGCTGAACGAGGCACTTGCAGATCTCAATGCGTCGAGTGACACCTCGGTCATCATCCTCACCGGCTCCCAGAAGGCCTTTGCGGCCGGTGCTGATATCAAGGAGATGGCGCCACTCACATTCGCTGAAGCCTACACCAAGTCCTTCATTGAGAGCTGGTCATCACTCACCACCCAGGTCAAGAAGCCCATCATTGCCGCCGTCTCCGGCCATGCTCTTGGCGGAGGGTGCGAGCTCGCCATGATGTGCGACCTGATCTACTGCACCGAGAACGCAAACTTTGGCCAGCCGGAGATTAAGCTGGGCACTCTCCCTGGTGCCGGTGGCAGCCAGCGACTCACCCGGGCTATCGGCAAGGCCAAGGCCATGGAGCTGATCCTTACCGGAAAGTCCTTCTCCGGTGTTGAGGCTGAGAAGTGGGGGATCGCGGCCCGGGTGTTCCCTACGTACGAGGCGCTGATGGAGGAGACGCTCAAGACGGCCGAGACCATTGCTGGGTACTCCCAGGTGGCTGTCCAGGCCTGCAAGGAGGTGGTCAACAAGAGCCAGGACCTGGCCCTCCGGGATGGTGTCGAGTACGAGAGGCGTGTGTTCCACAGCTTGTTCGGCAGCCAGGATCAGAAGATTGGCATGAAGGCGTTTGCGGAGAAGAAGAAGGCCGAGTGGACGCACTCTTAGGTATATTTTTATTACGAGATATTAACAAACATACCACGGTTCACAACATACGAGGAAGCATACCCGGCCCCTCATTCACTTACGCGCCTTTTTTCCAGTTAATGCGTGAGCATGTTATAGTTGCCTTTACATATGACATTCTGGTTGTAGGCGCATGGAGTGTAGGCGACGTCGGGGGATCTGTGGAACGATCTGCAGCTTGGTTGGTCCACAGCCTGTTTCACGGGCGCATGAAATGGTGACTATCTGGGCTAGAACGGCTGCGACAACGAAATGATGCGTGACATGCCCAGAGCCTGTGTCTTGCATGTTGGGTATATCCTCTGACTCTTTAGGGGCATTTTTTGACGCTGTGAGCGCCAAACCTAGCCTATGGTACCCGGCTGAGCTCGACACGCACATCAAAGTGTTATGCTTGTGGTCAAGTTATTTGTATTATTCTTGTGATAATTCTCATCAAATCCGATAGGTAAATCACTGCCAAGTATTATTCTAACAAATCGATTGCATGGGGATGCTTATACGAGAGTCGTCCAATATATGGTGAGCCGTACACATATGCCATCCACCAAACAGGAAACTACCAGCTTCATTAAAGACTCCTATAGAAAGAAAAGAAGAAAGGATTGATCATGTTTTCCTTCTCTCTGGTATCTAGTGGAGTATGTAGGATGCTATATCAAGAAATTGTTCTTTATTCAAGCCAAAGATCTTTGTGGCGGCATCTTCTCTTCGATCAAGTCATCAAAAATAATTTGACCTGGGGTCATAGATCTCTCTCTATTGGCTTCACACAATGAATAGAATAAGACGGGGGTCGCCGCGGGTCTGACTCGCCACTCTCATCGAAGAAGAGGCCGGCCCAGCATTTATTCATATTGAAGCACTCCTTATCATTCTTGTCGACAATAGGCTTTTTAAATTATGCTCATATCACATTTTCTCTCTCTGTATAAATAAGAGTATATGGTTCCTAAAGAGCGGAATTATTTGAGCTAGATGGACGTGGTCATTGTATAGCTTATTGTGGTTGGTTGGATGGCTGAACAAGCTCATGTCCTCTAACAAGTTCCATATCTAAATAAGTGAGCTTAAGTGATAACCGAGAACCCTGAAATGACTTGAAATTACCCCGCCAAAGGGACATTTCTCGTTCATCATCTCTTAAATGCTTGGGGTGTGGGCGGTTCGAGTGATACGGGACAAGTTTCTTCAAGCACAGCATCATTCGCTAGCTCGACCATGATGTGATCATCTTGATATCTTCAAACAATAAATCTACCAAGGGAAGAGCTAGCGGAGGCAAGATGATACCCGTGTGAATGAGATGGCATTCTGCGTGGAGGTAGTCCAAGGTTTGAAGTAGGCAGTACATTGAAAGCTTAAATAGCGGCAAGGGACTACCCGAGCTGCGCGATCATGGTGAGCCTATCACCAAAATATCTCCTGGCTTGGTGGGCTCTAACCTCTGACCTAATGGGCGATAGCCACCTGATCGCGTCAACAGCCTCCTTGGTGGATTGAGTGGTTGGAGTGACTTTAATAGCAATGGCCGTGAAGTTAATTGGGGCGGAGGAGGTCCTGATGACTGTATTCTCCGCTATGAAGGTCCATTAGGTGCCCGACGTCCCACGCAAGCCACCGACCGGAGCTGCTCAGCGAAAGGGCAGCTCCGCCCGTATGACCTCACCGTCAAGCAGCTGCGACAGCAAACTGCATGATGTGCGATGCTGGTGCTGAAGTGCCTATTCACTATTACTAATCCATGCGCTGGAGCTGCATGCACACGCAAGGTAAGATGATGTGTGGACAGATCTGGTACACGCGGTGTGATCATCTTTGTTGGAATACGGTGCCCACCTGCACCTGCCTCCACTGCCTTGGCCAACCCCCGCCAATCTTTCCAGCTTCTACTAAGGTAAGTGCAGTGGCCTGGGTCAGACCCCGGAAGCTGCCCTAGGAAACCTGCAGCCAGCCCGGTGGTCTTTGACTTCGCAGGCCAGCTTTGCTTTGTTCATCTGCCTCAGAACACCGGGATAGGGCGCTGCGCAAACAGGATTATCATGAATGGAGTCCCCAAAGTCCGGCCTTGAGCTCGAGAGGGAGCTGACCTGTTCTGTAAGTGACGGACCGCCGTCTTCTACCCCAGCCCATCTGTTCGCATGGCGTCTGCTAACTTCCCGCCTTTTGCTCCCAACCCCAGATCTGCACCGAGCTGCTATACCAGCCGCTCACTCTGCTCGACTGCCTGCATACATTCTGCGGCTCATGCTTGAAAGAATGGTTCAGCTTCCAAGCTGCGAAAATCGAAAATGCCCCCAACCCGCCGCCGGCCGATGCTGCTCCATTCACATGCCCCTCATGCCGGGCGCCGGTGAGAGATACGAGGCACAGCGCCACGTTCGTGACCCTCCTCGACATGTTGATCTCAGCGCACCCGGAGAAAGCCCGCACCGATGCCGACAAGGAGGACATGGCGAGCAAGTACAAGCCCGGGGACCAAGTGATACCAAAAATCAAACGCCGGGAGCGGACCGCTGATGAGAGGCGAGCCGACGAGGAGGACAGGAGGCTGGTCGACAGTGTCAGAGAGATTAGCCTGCGTGAGACTAGCGGTGCACCACCCCAGTCATCCAGGCCTCAGCATCGGAGGGACAGCAGGTCCAGGTCGAGCGGAGATACAGCGTCAGATACACGTCAGCGTCGCACACGGGAAGGAGGGCATCGACATAGACGGGATGAGCCCCGCCGGCAGAATTCTGATCAGTTGGCTCCTGACGGAGAGCCGAGGCGGAGGAGGCGAAGTGAATCACGGCAGCGGCAGGCCGAACAGGAACGTGCGGCCCGCCCCCAGATAGGGCATCAGTCCTCCTTGCGCTCTTTGATCAGTTCTGCGGACATGAATGATCGGGATATTGAGAAGGAGATTGAAGAGTTTGCGCGGCAGATCCAGGAGGAAGGACTTCTCAATGGGCTTGATCTCGATAACATCGATCTATCCCGAGATGATGAGCTTAGCCGCCGGATCACAGAAGCATACCGTCGACGACAAAGGGGGCGAACCCGAAACGAGACCTCCTCCAGAAGCAACGGTCGGTCAAGCAACAGCAATAGCGGTCACTCGAGTTCGAATCGGCCTACGGAAAGCAGCCAAGGGGACAGAGGACCAACTACAGCAAGTAACGGAGGCCGACAAGGAAGTAGCCGCCCCAATCGCCAGGCGCGGTCCGCAAGCGCCGGTGGACATTCGGAAGACAGGCGAAGGCCGCCTACGGCTTGGACCGCCAATCTAGATGCCAGAGACTCATCCAGCACTGGGAGGCGCCGTGCCAGCAGCAATGGCCGCTCAACCACAGTCCCAACTGTACCCGCATTTTCGACCCCTCCCACATCGGACTCAAGTAGAGCGCGGTCCCAGACGGACCTGACCATGCCACTCGGCTCCGTGGATGGTGCCGGACGTGCCAGGCCAGCAACCAGCTCCAGGAGAAATTCGAGTTCCCCAGTCACCAACACTTCTCCGACAAATCTTCCAGCTTCCAGTGCACCAAACCTCCAGTCGTTCGCAAACAGAGCAACACAAGCGAACTCTAATCCCACACCAGGCCGCTCCACTACGCCCCCGGAGACTTCACAACAGTCAACACAGACTAACAGGCAAAGAGCAAACCCACCGGCCGAGCTTCCTGTTATGCACTCATCGGCATCGGGCCCTGTTAGCACCAGTCCAATTCTCAGCCCTGTCAGTGCTGGACATCAACGGAAGAGATCTCAACTTTATCCAGAACCATCAATTACGTGTGCTAGGTGCGGCAAGACGCATATTGAGTACGAAGTCCACTACAACTGTCACATATGTGCAAACGGGCAATGGAATATCTGCCTTACCTGCTACAGAGCATCATTAGGTTGCAAGCATTGGTTTGGATTTGGATATGCAGCCTGGGTCAAATGGGAGAAGATCCGCAATCGTAGTGATAGCCCACAGGCAATGTCGCCACCCCACGTGTTGACTGCCCATCGATACGTCCCTCCCCAACACCAACCGGGCGGCGCTGATGGCCGGAAGACGCTCACAGCGTACGACCCAAAGAACAGACTTGAGGTTGGAATGTTCTGTGCCCGCTGCTCTGCTTGGGCGAATGAGTGCTTCTGGCGTTGTGAACAGTGCAACGAAAATGACTGGGGCTTTTGCAACAACTGCGTCAACCAGGGCAAGTCATGTTCACACATGCTGTTACCATTGACCAACGAAGCGTCGTCCTCACAAGACCGCCCAAAGAGTCCCCGCTCCCCCGGACCCCCGGCCACTGCGAGCATCCTCACTGGACCCTCGGGGTCAAGCGTGGGAGACTTCAAGCCGCTCACCTTTGCGACGAGGTGCGATATTTGCCAAGATCCGATAGGGTTAACGCAAACTCGATACCACTGTTACAGCTGCAAGAGCGCCCTGATTGCCGACGCGACGCCTGGAGACTATGACATCTGCACCTCTTGTTATGATAATTTGGTTCAGCATGGTGAAATCAGTCCCGAGAATGGTCATTCAGGGTGGAGGCGATGTCTTAATGGGCATCGGATGGTTGTGATTGGTTTCACTGAAGGCAAGATCGGACTCTGGCGCTACGTGGATCATGATCTTGTCGGTGGCCGGGCCCTTGGATCGGAACCGTACACCAGTGTAGACAAGCGTGGCCTGGAGCTGGTCAAGTGGTCGTGGCCATGGGGTGACCAGAAACGGGAGCGCCTTGTATCCAAGAACGTGAAGCACGCGGCGCCCTCAAGCGATGGTGGAGTGACATTCACACAGACCTTCCCACCAGATGGTGGCGTGGGCGCTCGCGCTACCGCAAAGTGGGCATGGTATCCAGCCTCTGGGAATGACGACGAGTTGATGTTTCCTCGTGGAGCTGAGATAAAGGAAGTAGAGGATATGAATGGGGACTGGTTTTTTGGAACATATATGGGAGCCAAAGGTGTATTCCCAGCGCCGTACGTCCGGCTACACCAAGAAAATTGACGCCGAGCGCACCGCCGGTAGTAACGCGGCAATCGATGGGCTGTTCTTGGAGGAACGAGAGAGATGGTCAGATTGACGGACAGGATTGTGTTTTTTGCATAACGATATTGGCCCATGATATCTATAGGGCTGTTTTGGCTAAGCGCTAGAGTTCCAGGGCCCGGCTGGGTACTGATGATGATCTACGTACGATATGAAAAGTAAACTTATGATTTAAGACAAGCTTCTATATGACATTTCCTTGACTACCAATTGCGTGGACTCAATTGAACTTAGACGGCGTCTTGGGTGAACCTGTTCGGCGCCGAACATCGGATCCTCGGCAGTTGACGTGATTGCGGTGCTCGGCCCCACCATGAATTGCTCCCGCCGTGCTCCAAGCTGAGATTCTGCTCGCCTCATGCTGTGCGGGCGGTGACAAAGCCGAACGTTCCCCGAGGATTCTTTATGAGCATCCGATCCAGGTGTCTTGGATCTTCAACCTAACAACCCAAGAACACCCAGCCCGCCCAATTCGCCATGTTACGCACCACCGCGCGACGGCTCGCAGTGGCAGCTGCGAAGGCTGCTGAGCCCAGCGCCTACACCCTCAAGGTCTCGGCCGCCCAAGGAATCGCCAAGGGACTCACTGGAGGTTTGTCGGCTCCCAATTGAATCACTTATCAAGAGAGCTAACCTATGCTTCCGCTACCAGCCATCGGAAACACCCCCCTGATCCGGCTCAACAAGCTCTCCGAGGAGACCGGCTGCGAGGTGCTGGGCAAGGCCGAGTTCATGAACCCCGGCGGCTCGGTCAAGGACCGCGCGGCCCTCTACGTGGTCAAGGACGCCGAGGAGCGCGGCCTGCTGCGCCCGGGGGGGACCGTCGTCGAGGGCACGGCTGGCAACACGGGCATCGGCCTGGCGCACGTGTGCCGCTCTCGGGGCTACAAGCTCGTCATCTACATGCCCAACACGCAGTCGCAGGGCAAGATCGACCTGCTGCGCCTGCTGGGCGCCGAGGTGTACCCCGTTCCCGCGGTGGCGTTCGACAACCCGGAGAACTATAATCACCAGGCGAAGCGGCACGCCGAGAGGCTGGAGAACGCGGTGTGGACGAACCAGTTCGATAACACGGCGAACCGGAGGGCGCACATTGAGACGACGGGCCCAGAGATCTGGACGCAGACGGCGGGGAACGTTGATGCTTTTACATGCGCTACGGGGACGGCGGGCACGTTTGCCGGCGTTACGAGGTATTTGAAAGAGGTTTCTGGTGGGCGGGTCAAGAGTTTCCTCGCGGACCCCCCTGGTAGCGTCCTGCACTCGTACGTGAGCTCGGGCGGCAAGCTCGTCGAGCGATCGGGTTCCAGCATCACGGAGGGGATCGGCCAGGGCCGCATCACGGACAACCTGCAGCCGGACATTGATCTCGTGGACGGGTCGCTGACGATCGCGGACGAGAAGAGCATCGAGATGGTGTACCGCTGCCTGGACGAGGAGGGCCTGTACCTGGGGGCCAGCTCGTCGCTCAACGTGGTGGCGGCCAAGGAGGTGGCCGAGAAGCTGGGCAAGGGCCACACCGTCGTCACGATGCTCTGCGACGGCGCCTACAGGTACGCCGACAGGCTCTTCTCCCGCAAGTGGCTCACTGAGAAGAAGCTCCTGGGTGCCATCCCGAAGCACTTGGAGAAGTACATTGTCTTACCATGAGGTATTCATAAAATATAAAAAGAATTTTGTAGCGGGTGCGTAGAGCTTGGTTATTGTACAACAAAAAAGGTCTATATCTTACACATTCATACAGCAAAATAAACTATTTGCAACACCCTTTTTTGACGACTTGCTCCCAAATATCCATGCTGAATTACAACTGCCAAGTCTGCACCTTTTTTGTTCATGAAGCCTTCTTTGGTTCATTGCCGACGACGGCCTTGTATACTTCTGCAAGTTCAGAGCGCTTGGGCAAGGGACTGATAAACTCGGCGACATGTGACTCAATGGCATTTGCAACAGGGAGCAGTACCGAGTCAAGCTTCTCATCGATGGACTTGAATTCCGGGTGCTGCTTGGCTGTGTGGTGTGCTGCCCGGATTCCCTTTACGTTCCGTGCGAGCGAGTTAACGTAGGGGGTTGGGGCCAATCTAGGTGAATTTCTGGTTGTCTTCCCTATGACGGGTAACAATTCAACAAACTCGGGAATCTCCGCGATCTGTTGTTCCAGGAGAGGTTCCCACAGCGAGACGAATACTTTGACGTCCTCCAGGAGTAGGTCAAGCTCCTTCTCAATCGGCTCTCCAGCTTCGTGTTTCGCCTTGACAAGAGCGGACCGGGCCAGGAGAATTTGACCACGAGCAGTCAATGAGTGGGTTAATCTGTCACGAACGTTGCGAACGTCTTCTCGGTGTGAAGGACGCTGAAGAATATCCAATACGGTGTCAATACTCCTCACAAGTTTCTGAATTTGCTCCCAGTTGCCTCCGGCAGCAGTGACCTTGGTGGTGATGTCGACGAGAATTTGGTTAAGGAGCTCCTTGTTGCGGATATAGAAGCCAGTTGCGTCCGCCTCGTTGGCGCACTCGATGAGGATGTTTCCGAAGCCCTTTCTCGTAGCCAACCGGGCAACTTTGCCGTGAAACCCTGGTGGGAGCTTGACGTTGGCATTCTTGAAGCCGGCGAACATGATGGCGAGGTTTCGCCAATCGCGACTTGTTTCCATTTTTTCCAGGGCGGCGAGAAAGAGCTTCTTGTTTCTGGGGATATCATGATGTTTGTCGATTGTTGTGAAACTGTGTTCCACCCCCTCCACCTCGATGACGATCGGGTTCTGCTCGAGGTAGGAACGCTTACTGGGGCTGAAGACGACGGATCGCTTCTTCGGGGGTAGGCGGGCTGGGAGGATGATCTTTTCTTGAATTTCATTGAGGATTTTGTCCAGTCCTTCGTTGTCTGTCCCCCGGAAGAGAACCGGCACACCTTGATACACTCAATTAGTCTCATAGTCATGGGGAAAAGGTCGTTGTATGGCAAAATTTGGCATACCATGGTGAGGACTGGTGCTGAAGCATCTTCCAGCCCAAGCCGAACCCGTCGGTGTAGATCGACTGAGCCTGCCGAGGCCCTGCAAGGTCGTTCTCGCCGTCCGGTTGTACATTTTGTCGAGCAGCGCCTTAGGATGAATTAGACGGTGCGCTTGTCGGCCTCGGATCTGGTGTCGTCCAAAAAGTTCCCAAGTCTGAACCACGCGAGCGAATGATAATCGGGGAATAGATCAGCCGGACCAATCATACGACGCAATTGGACCCACATCCGACTTCCTAGGAAATTCTGATGGGAATTCACACCTGCCAAGTCTCACAAGTAGCTGCCGCCTTTCTCGTCGTTGACAACACCACACTGTAGCCACAATGAAGCCCATCAGCGTGGGACGGCCGTTGGGCTGTCTCAAGGCAGCCCTGCGAGCTACCCGGCTACAAAGGACCGCTCAGCGATCGATCGCGACCGCTGCTCTACCCCAAAGCGCATTCAATGGTGCTTTCAACCGAAACCAACGTACGAGGCAACTGCCAGCCCATGCTCTCTAAACTTCTACCTTGAGGAATCGATTTTGCTAACGCTGTTGCTACAGGGGAGGAAATCAAGCGAGTCAGCCAGTTCCAAGTCTACCCACCCGTTCCCTCAGTCCGAGCTACCGTCCCCAACCCAATGCCCGCCCTCCGCAAAGCGCAGGTCGAGAAGCTTGATCCCACCGGTGCACGAACCCGAATGTTCTCCAAGGAGCACGCAGACAGCGCCAAGGTGGGCGATGTCCTGATGGTCACGACAAAGCAGGGAGAGCCCTTCGCTGGCGCCTTCATCCAGATCCGACGACGGGGCGTAGATACGGCGATCCAGCTGCGCGGGCAGCTGATGAAGACTGGCGTGGAGATGTGGTTCAAGATTTACAGCCCGTCAGTAACGGCGATCGATGTCATCTGGCGCCGTCCGAAGAGGGCAAGGAGGGCCAGGCTCACGTACATGCGGAAGCCCAAGCACGACATGGGCAGTGTGGACCAGCTCGTGTTCGCCTGGAAGAGGGAGCGTTACGCGCTGCGCTCCAGGGAGAAGGCGAGGGCCGGCCACCAGCAGAGGAAGAAGTAAAGAGTGCTCGGGCTGGACGGGCCCTTGCGTGTATGATATCTGTTTCACTATTGGACAAAAGCATCGCACAACGAATGTTATTTTATTCAAAACTAGCGGCTCATGCGAAAGGCAGTTTCATGGTGCATTGGATCACAGGCAGAGTCGAAACAGGCCATGCATTACTTACCAGTGCTGTGTAGGACTCTAATACGAGCAATGTTGAAATGCGGGGCTTGCTTGTGAGAACGTTGGTCCCTAGTGCCTACCTATAGGTACCTATTCATTCACATGTGTACTAATTGATACATAACGGAATGCTGCAATTATACCAAAGGAGATATGTATGCTCTAGGCAGGTGAAGAGGTTATGAATTATGATAGGAAGGAGGGGTACGACTACTACACCAATCTAACGGCTAAATTATGCTTACGACGCAATACTTGAGTTGGCGGAAATTGACTTTCGTAGTGGCTGGAAACGAGGAATAGGATTGACTTCCAAACCGGCGACGTTTCAGTCAGACGTTCGAGTGGGATTAGTTGTCGTGTGTGACGTTTGAACTTAGATGCAGCACTTGAGACGTTGGCTACTTATCGGCGCTGCTTATCAGTCCACCTTCTCACAAGGAGGTTGGGAAAGCAGACCGCATGTCCCGGGTTGCAGCAGTCGAGTTGGGCAACGACCCCAAAATATAATATGGGGCACCACACCACCATAAGGCAGCTAGCCACCAAAGACCAGCCGCTAAATTCGGCTCCGACCACTGGATTGGCGCTTCAGGCGCCCGGCCAACGGCAGAGTGGTTTCTGTTTACTAGGTACCTGCAGCCAGGTGAGTGGACGGGATGCCTCGATTAGTACGGAGTACCTGACCTTAGATGAACGATGCAGGGAGCCAACAACCAACCACCTCATTGACGGCAGCTGCTGGACCTCCATCACCAGAGATCATTTACTAGCCAATTCCCACCATCCCTTTCATCCTCCCCAAGATTCCCCTTTCTCTGCGCTGTCTCATACTTAGATTTTGTCTTCGTTGCATTCACTTGCATCCCATATCGTCATTATCTGCCAGCTCTGAATCCCCCCGTGCTACTCCACTGCCGACGAGAACCCTGGACACTCCATCCCTTGAACCCCACTACCACGCATCTGGCGGGAGGAGTCGCTGCATGGTATTTGACAGCGGCGGTCAACGAGCACCGCAGGATTGCCTTTCTTCGATCTCGCGGAGAAGCTGGAGAGTCTTTGTGCTAGATACCTAGCCTCTGGTGAGACCAGCGACCACGATCATAATCAATCCCCATGCCGGGGGCCATCAGCACACGCAGTACAGCCAACGGAATGAGTATGGCGAATATGGAGAAAGAACGATGGGTTGCCATCCAGAAAAAGACATTTACAAAATGGTGAGCCTGTTGCGATCCGCTACCAAGCGTCCCAGACTGACGAAGACCCAGGCTCAATACGAAGATTGCTGCACGAGACCTCGAGGTGAAGGACTTGGCGCGAGACTTGACGGATGGAGTAAGTAAATGCAGGACCGCCCATGCCACAGCGAGTCGCCTTACTGACTTTAACAGGTTATGTTAATTCACCTTCTTGAATGCCTATCGAACGATACGCTAGGCCGATATGCGTCGAACCCAAAGCTACGAGTTCAAAAGTTCGAGAATGCCAACCTGGCCCTCGACTTTATCAAAATGAGGGGCATCCAGTTGATCAATATCGGCGCCGAAGATGTCGTAGACGGCAGGGAAAAGATTATTCTGGGACTCATCTGGATGATAATCTTACGGTTCACAATCAGCGACATCAACGCAGAGGGCATGTCCGCCAAGGAAGGTCTGCTGCTGTGGTGTCAAAGGAAGACTGCTTGTTACGATGGAGTCGATGTACGAGATTTCAGCCACAGCTGGAAGGATGGCCTTGCCTTCTGTGCCTTGCTAGATATCCACCGCCCCGATCTGATCGACTACGACACTCTTGACAAGTCGAAACACAGAGAAAATATGCAGATGGCATTTGATATCGCTGAGAAGGAGATTGGTATCCCGAAATTGCTGGACGTGGAGGATGTATGCGAAGCACCCGACGACAAGAGTTTGATGACTTACATTGCATACTGGTTCCATGCCTTCTCGCAAATGGAAAAGGTCGAGAATGCAGGCCGGCGGGTGGAAAAGTTTGTCAACAACATGCAGGGAGCTTGGGAGATGCAGAGTGCGTACGAGAGGCGGATGCGAGCACTTTTGAAGGCCACTGCGGAGCAGGTCGAAGCGTGGCAGCTATCACAATTCGAGGGCACCTACACCGACGCCAAGGCCCAAGCGGCAGCATTCGCTGATTACAAAAAGGGCCAAAAGCGAGACTGGGTGGCTGAGAAGAGTGACCTTGCAACGCTGCTGGGCAACATCAAAACGAAGCTGGGCACCTATCGCTTGCGACCATATGAACCCCCCGCTGAATTGAGCTTGGAAGCGATGGATCACGCCTGGGCCAATCTATCTCAGTCAGAAATGCACCGAGCCCAACTAATCAACGAAACTATTCGAGAGTAAGTCGGACATGGCACCTCTCGCCCGCGATGAGACGATGATCAGTCTATCTAACAATACTCCAGCATAAAGAACGCTTTGCGGAAGTCTTTCGCCGACAAAGCGAACGATTTCGCCATGGCTCTAAACGCAATGCAATTAGCGATTTCAGGGCTGGATGGTGATGTCGAGGATCAACTACACCATGTCCAGAAGCTCAGCGACAACCTTCCCCCTATGGATCGCTATCTGGAAACAATCGAGGCCGTGGACATCAAATGCCAAGAGGCGAATATCGAAGAAAACGACTTCACAACCTACACATACGACGAGCTAGGATATGAGCTCGGATTAGTAAAGTCATCGGTGCAGAAGAAGCTGGCATTTTTGGAGAACCAGATGGTGGCACGAAGCATGACAAACTTGACACCAATTCAGCTCGAAGAGTTCGAGAGTGTCTTCCGTTATTTCGACCGCGACGACACCAACTCACTGCAAGAATTGGAGTTCAGCGCCGCGCTGGCATCGCTTGGCCTGGTATTTTCAGAGGAGGATATGCATGATTATTTCGACGTGACGTCCGAAGGCCGTGATTACGTGACCTTTGAGCAGTTTATTCGCTTCATGGTCGATGTAACAGAGGATCAGAACACAGCCGAGCAAGTGTTTCAATCCTTCAGAGAGGTGGCTGACGGTAAGCCATATGTGACGGAGATGGATTTACGGCACAGTCTAGTTCCTGACGAGGTCATTGACCAACTTGTGGACATGATGCCCGAGCACAAGGGGCCCGACATGTCAGAAGACCGGGGGATGCCCCAATACGATTATATTTCGTTCATGGAGAAGCTCATCAACGACGAGCGCGGACGGGAGGAACAAGCACCAAGCAATGTGCTACAGGATAGGACAAACCGGGACGAGAGCCCGCGGAAGGAGAGCAAAGTGAACGGGAGTAATGTGAACGGATTTCATTAGGTGGAACGAGATGGACGTCGGAAGGGGAAGATCAGTCTACTTGTGCTGCTGACTCTCTCCTGCTCTTTTGAGAGGAAGGGTGAGCATAGTCACAGAGAGAGCGTGCAGGAATCATTTCTTCGCCTCCTCCTTCATTACTTCAATCTCTTTTTTGTAACCCATTGAGGAGTATTTAATAATAAGTGCATCACCTGGTGTGTTGTACGGGAAACATAGGAGAGGGGAGGGTTTGGCAACAATGCAGAACCCCCTCCCAGATTACTTAGATAGCAGGCTTGTTAGGCATTACTTAGTCGAATAGCAAACAAACGAAATATCAAACGAGCAGAGTCCTTCGGTGATGCTTCACTCTAACATTCTCCAACGGAAACATGATTCCGGCAGATTGCCGGGCGGCTTAAAGAATAGACGCGGCCCCGAATTCGGAATCTTTCGGCCATTTTGCGTGGCCGCCGAAGACGAGGCTCGCTGCCCAATGAGAAGTCGCGGAAAGAGGCTAAAAGACGGAAAACTTGATTAACCGCCGAATCGCCTCATTCTTGCCTTTACGTCCACGACAAATGGGGGAGTTCAAGGGAGACCATTTGTAAATATTTATACCCTATATATCTTTATCACATACAGACTCAGTCTTTTCTGTTCCCCCAATCGTTTGATCAATTCCCCCTCCGCAATGGCTTCTCGCTCAAACGTAGTGCGCGCGCTGCGAGTCCCGGGCCGGTGCTTGCGACTGGATGCTCGGGCTGGGCGAACTCTCACCACCACCACCACCACCAGCAACGGCCTTCCCTCCGCAGCTTATGGACGATGCGCAGCCACGGCTTCAGCCCCCAGGTTCTTCTCAGCCGCCACGGCTCGCCATGCCAAAAGCACCGCCGAGATGTATCCGTCGCTGAAGCGCGATCCCAAGTATGCCGAGGTGACCAAGGAGCACGTCGCCTACTTCAAGGAGCTGCTTGGGTCGTCGTCTGCGGTCATCGACGGCGTCAATGCTGACGCTGCAGGTGACATTGAGCCCTTCAATGAGGATTGGCTTCACAAGTACAAGGGACAGTGCCGGCTGGTGCTCAAGCCCGGCTCCACCGAGGATGTCAGCAACATCCTCAAGTACTGCAATCAACACAAGCTGGCCGTTGTTCCCCAGGGGGGCAATACTGGTCTCGTGGGTGGATCTGTCCCCGTCTTTGACGAAATCGTCATTAGCATGGCACGTATGAACACTATCCATTCGTTTGATGAGGTCAGCGGGTCTCTCGTGGCAGATGCCGGGTGCATCTTGGAGGTGGTGGACCAGTTCCTCGCCTCAAAGGGATACATCTTTCCCCTTGATCTAGGAGCCAAGGGGTCGTGCCACATCGGAGGCAACGTCGCTACAAACGCTGGCGGGCTACGATTGCTGCGATATGGCAGCTTACACGGGAGCGTCTTGGGCCTTGAGGCTGTGCTCCCTGATGGCACCATCCTGAATGATCTGGGGACCCTGCGCAAGAACAACACTGGCTTCGACCTGAAGCAGCTACACATTGGCGCCGAGGGAACGATCGGCATCATCACCAAGGTGTCCATCCAGTGCCCCCAGCGGTCTGCGGCCGTCAACGTCGCATACTTTGGTCTCGAGTCGTTTGAGAAGGTGCAGGAGGCGTTCAAGGAGGCCAAGAAGCAGCTATCCGAGATCCTCTCGGCTTTTGAGCTGATGGACCTCCAGAGTCAGCAGCTTGTTAGCAAGGTGCGCCCGGACGTTCAGAAACCGCTGGAGGATGACCACCCCTTCTACTGTCTGATCGAGACAAGTGGCTCCAATGCGGAGCATGACTATGCAAAGCTAGAAAAGTTCCTGGAGGATGTCATGGCCAAGGAGATCATTTCCGATGGCGTGGTTGCCCAGGACGAGACCCAAGTGAAGACCCTCTGGAGCTGGCGCGAGGGTGTCCCAGAGTGCATCGGCCACTGGGGAGGTACCTACAAATATGACGTCTCGATCCCTATCGCGGACATGTATCAGATCGTCGACGACGTCCATGCTCGCCTGCTCGAGGCCGGACTCGTTGGTGACACCGACGAGTACCCTGTGATCGGCACCTCCGGTTACGGGCACATGGGAGATGCCAACATCCACCTCAACGTCGCGGTCCGGCGTTATGATTCGGCAGTCGAGAAGGTCCTGGAGCCCTACGTCTACGAGTGGGTCGCGGGCCGCAAAGGAAGCATAAGCGCTGAGCATGGTCTTGGCCTCGCGAAGAAGAACTACATTGGTTACAGCCGAGATGAAACCACAATCGGCCTGATGAAGCAGATCAAGCACCTGTATGATCCTGTGAGTGAACCCCCTCCCCCCATTCCCGCCCTATCTCCCTCTCCCCCGTACTTCTGCAGCCCTATACAGGTACAGGCTGCTTTGGCACATCCGGGACGGGACGGTGTGGCCATAAGGCTGGAATAAGCATCCAAAAGCTGACGAGAGAATTTTACCACCAGAACGGCATCATGAACCCCTACAAATACCTGTGATCCTTCCTCTCCCCCCACACTGTGGCAGGTGCCATCCCTTCAAACTTAGATTGATCAATAAAAAAGCGAATTGACGGTGAAACCAATTTGTTGGCGGGCGTCTTGTGGCCCGGCCTGCAGTCATACCATGGCACTCCATGCATGAGGTGCTGGCGTAAACCCGTTGGCGAGACTGCCATGATCCCTTCCACCCGCCCCTTGACCGACGATCCGGTGGGTGTGATTTGTGTGTCCGTGACTGGGGGATCGGAATGCGAAGAGGCGAGTGCGAAGAGGCAGGTGATTGAAGCCGCCAGCAATGCTGTATCCCTATCTCGTGCATATGCCAATTAATTATATCTCTTGTGTACGCGTCTCCGGTCCACGGACCATGTCATTGGGAACCAACGAAGCCGAACCCCCTGAGAGCTTTGGGCGGCATCCGTTCCATGGCAATCTGTAGTGTCGAGGATCATTCTCTCGGCTAGTGGGTCAAACAGAGCAGAACACCAGCTTGTTCCCCCCTCTTTTTGCGCGTAGGGCCAGGATGAGGCCCCCATAAACATGTCGTCCCGCGGCCGCCACGACACCGCTGGCCGTCATCCTGCGACTGTCATCAAAGGCCTCCCCGGTCGCGTACCAATGGGCGGCCGATGGTGCTTGGGGCGGCGTGGGACCTCGATATGCCCAGATTTGGACGTATTTTGCTCAGGCACCCCGGCCAGCCAACCAGCGCGCGAGCTGGCCATCCCATGTCAGCCCTACCGACGAGGTTGTACGAGCTTCCCAGTACAGCCCGTCGTCATCCATGCCAGCGGAGAAGGGAGAGAGAGCTCCACTCCTTCTCTTGCGTCCGCCGAGCCCGTGGTTTGGTTCCTCTCGCCATGGCATGCATTCAGCTCAGTAAGGCAGCGGGTCCGAGCTGAAGTGTATTATTATGTAGTGTATGAGGAGCACGTAAGCGGCGTAGAGCTCTAAATTCACAAGGCTGGTTGAGGGACTGTCGCTTCGGGGCGGGTTCTGTAAGCTGATTCGCTCGAGCCCAAGATTCCCACCGTCTGGCTACCCTCGTCCTAATTATGATGATGTTATGCGACGACGTCGGCAGCTCTTTCATGTATCTGGGTTGGCCTAGGTCCTCCATGTCCCGCACCCCTGAGGGAAAAGGATCAGATATTTCTGAGAGGAATCCGAAAACCGATCAGGCCAATACGGTTGTCTGGAAGGCATGTCTCGAGACATTGCTTCGGTCTCTGGATGCACCCTAACATTGAATTATTAATTTTCCTTCCCCCGTTGTGGAAACCTGCCCGGGACACGTATATATATATTGTGCGGTTTGTGACGACAGAGTTCTATAACTTGCCACACTGGATCAAGCCTCATTCAACTGACTGAGCCTCCTCGCTGGCTGAGTAAACACACTTCGCATCATACATCCGAGCATTCATTCGTTTAGTGGCAGGCATAATGGTTGGCGTCCCCGGGAAATACAAGGGTTGCGAAACTTGCAGGCGCCGAAGAGTAAAGGTAGGACAAAACCATGAACATCGATTTTAGCCGGATTTGACAAAGACTGACTTGATGGTTTTATTTTACCTCTTTTTTCTAGTGTACCAACGAGCGTCCGAAATGCTCCAAATGTATCACCAGCGGGAGAGAGTGCGAAGGTTACGAAAGGGAGATGATGTTCATAACCGGCACTCCCGAGAACAAGGGCCGAGTTTCGTCACACCCCAAGAAGGGGAGCGGCTCGTCACCGGCCTCATCATCAACGTCAAAGAGACGTTCCAAGTCTCGCACGCCGATAGGCAAGGAGAGCAGCAGGAGGAGCTCCAGTGCGTCGTTTGTCCCGACCTATCCGTTGACTTCGGCCTGGGACGACTTCATCGGGCTGTCCAGCAACGGCGCCGAGTCGCAGGTGCTCTTCACCGCGTTGCAGACTCCTCTCAAGAGTGTCATCCGAGAAGAGGACGACTCTGGGGATGATGCCAGGTTCAAGGTGTCCTTTGTTCCAACTACCCCTCCTGAACTCCCGTCACTTCCGGGATGTGACGATTTCAGCGTCCAGGCTCACTGCCTCGTAAGTACACACTTTCCTGGAGAGGAAGCCAACGGGGGGGATTTCTGCGCCTTCTTGTTCGAGGTGAGATATTCTGTGATGATGCTGCTCGTGGGAGTCAAATCAGACTGGCTAATGCCGATAGAAGCATACCTTCCAAACTCAAGGGTTTCCGACATTCAACAACACGAATCCGGATCCCGTGCAAAGCGCAGGGCCGGAGAACTTCAAGGCCTTCCCTAACCACCATTATTTTGTGAGGGTCTATCGGCCACTAGTTGTAAGTCTATCATAGAAGAGTACTGTTGGAAACGAGAAGAAAGCGTATAGTCTAACTTGGGTCGGTAGCTGAGCTCTGCCTTATTAAGAAGGCAGCCAACTTTCCTATCCGAGCCCCTATGGCAGACAGTTCCGTGGGAACTCTACCCGAAGCCGCTTTTCGATCAGCTTCTCGATCTCATTGCGCTCCTGTCCGGGACGCTTCATCACACTGACCAGATCATGACGATGCAGCCGACGTTACCGAGACGCCACCAAGCACAAGATCTCCTGCACACCTGCCTCCTCCTCGAGGCACGATTCGACGAGTGGCTCGGCCTAGCCCACAGCCAGACCGGGGAGCAGCCCGTGAGCTACTGGGCCGGCGAGCTAGTGACCTCCAACGGCGAGGTGGCCTTCTCCCACTCCTACTCGTTCAAGGACAGCCTGACAGGGCTCATGTTCCTGTACTACTGGATGTCCCAGATCCGGTTCCGGAGGTGCGTCGACTGCCTCCACCGGGTCATATACGAGCCCGTGGTTGACTCCTACGCGGACATCTGGCCCGACCTGCCGCCCAGCCTGCAGATCGACCTGACGCGGTACCAGCAGACGCGGGACCTGGCGGCCAGCATCTGCCGGGGCCTCGAGTCGACGCTGGGGAGCACGGTGCAGCCGAACCTGCTCCTCGCCCCCATGACGATCGCGCTGGAGCTGTACCGGGACATCAACCTCGCGACACAGGACTGCCTGCCTGAGATACTGTGGCTCGAGGCTTTCGAGTCCCGGCTGGTTGACAAGGTCGAGAATGTGGCGGCCGTGCTGCAGCAGAACCGTTGGGTGGAAGTCACCCGGTTTTAGACTTTGCATAGAGATTGGGATGTATGATTACAGAGGGACGATTTATAAGGGTAAACCGGGGAAAGCTGGAGCCTAGTGACTTAATCGTCACAAGAGGTGCGTGGAGGGCATTTGTTAAACAAGCATTACATGCGCAGCTGGTCTGCTTGCAAAGATATAACGATGGGATAAACCTTAGTACATGAGATGATGAGGGTGGTATTTTTGGGCTTGAGTGTTCTCGTTTCCCATTTCAGCAATTGGGATTCGAGTTTCATTGCATGTGGGCAAATGCTCCTCCAGGCGAGGGGCTGCAGGGTGGGAAACCAGATGGGCGGACTAAAAGTAGGGAATATTCCAGTATTTAATTCAAAGTAAAATCGAAAAGCTTGAATCATGATAATGCTGTGAAAAATCAAAGAGAACTCTAACACATTACCTAACAAAAGAAATACGAAGTTGATTGAAAGGTTGTGGTTTGAAAGGCTTCGAGTTATCTAAGTGGTACAAGGTACAAGCGAGGTCCAGCGGGCCGCATCAACTTTCTTCCGATAGCTCTTAACCCCACATCAGCTCAATGGCGGGCAGCCAGCAGCTCAGGCAAGTGTAGCTTGTGTCGGACCGCGTGCAGGCAGGCTACAGGAGTGACGAAGCTCCACCGACCTCAGCTTCCTTCGTTGCCAACATCCCGCCTTGACCTCACTCAACTCCCAGCATCACACACAGTAAATTTGCCGGAGGCCTATTCTTCCCCGTCCGCATTTATCCACACCCTCTTCACGCAAGAACACCATCATGGCTTCCGGATACGACCGAGCGCTGTCGGGTATGTAGTGATATATCATTTAATGACAGCTTTGGGTGCGTTTACTAACAGCGATATACAGTCTTTAGGTTCGTTTCAAATAGCAGCTTGCAAGGCGTCGTCTAACAATGAGGCAGTCCCGATGGCCACGTTTTCCAAGTTGAGTATGCTGGCGAAGCAGTGAAGCGAGGTGGGTTGATTGCCTCATAGGTGCCCCAAGTCGACTCGTTGCTCATGGTGCATTTAATCTAGGAACCTGTGCCGTTGGTGTGAAGGGCGAGGATGTAGTAGTGCTGGGATGCGAAAAGCGATCTGCCATGAAGCTTCAGGACACCCGAATTACCCCCTCCAAGATTCAACTTCTCGACAACCACGTCGCCCTTGCCTTCGCCGGCCTCAACGCAGATGCTCGAATTCTCGTCGACAAGGCTCGCTTAGAGGCCCAGTCCCACCGATTGTCCGTCGAGGACCCCGTCACAATCGACTACATCACCAAGTACGTCGCCGGCGTGCAGCAGCGGTACACACAGGCCGGTGGAGTCCGCCCATTCGGTATTAGCACACTGGTTGTTGGCTTTGACAACGGAAGCAAGGTCCCCAGACTGTACCAGACAGAGCCTTCTGGTATCTACTCCGCATGGTAGGCAATATTACATCGTGGGTTTGGGAGGTCCGTCATCTAATTGTTCGATAGGAAAGCAAATGCCATCGGCAGGTCGAGCAAGACTGTTCGGGAATTCCTGGAGCGCAACTACAAGGATGACATGGATCGTGAGACGACCATCAGACTGGCGATCAAGTCACTACTTGAGGTGGTTCAGACTGGCGCCAAGAACATCGAGATCGCTCTGATGATTCCCGGCGCTGCGATCGAAATGTTGGACACGGAAGAGATCGAGGGCTACGTCAAGGAAATCGAGCAGGAGAAGCAGGAAGAGGCTGCCAAGAAGAAGACTGGCCGGACCCCAGGAACTGGGAGCGCTGCTATCCTGACGAGAAGCCAAGAGGATTCTGCTGCTGAATAATTACGGGAATATATAAACTATTTTGATAGACAAAGGCAGTCTAAACCTCGAATTCCGCTACGTCATATGTATCATCAAATGTAATCCAGGCTCATATCCTGGAAGCCTCCTCGTGCCCGAGCGGAGTTGTCGTACTTCTTCTTCCACCAAACTGCCAGCCTACCCCAGTTGGTCGGCCTCTTCCGTGGGGTCGAAGATGGTCCTGTAGTCCTTTTGTTTTACCCGCTCGTCCCTGAGCATCTTGTTGTCCATCCTCACGTCCTCGCTCTCCACGGTAAGGGCAGCCTTGGGTGTCTTGGCGTCAATCACGAAGTGGTTGTCGCAGTGTGGGCAGTATTCGTCGCTCTCCTCGAACTCCTGGGCGTCTTTTCGGAAGCACTTCTTGCACTTCTTGCAAGCAAACACCATCTCGAGGGCCTGCTGGAGCTCATGGGTTTCCTGTTCGTGGTGGCACTGGGCGCAGTCGAACCACTTCTTGCCTGTTTTTATTACGAGTCAGAAGACGCAGTTAGGAAGAAGGGGTCGTCGGGAGGCCATACAGCAGGGCGAGCGAATCGCAACCTGGGCGTTGAGGATATGCTTGCTAATAGGCAGTTAGCACCCAACATCCGGAGGGGCAAGGCAGGCCCTTCATTTGGAACTCTCATACCACATGGTCTATAATCTTTTCCACGTCCACGTTTATTCTTGGCTGTGGCTGGGAGGTGTCACTCAACGCGAAGTCGCAAGTTAAAATTGTGGCTTGAGGATCGGTTTAATCGTTGTGGTGGTATTACCCCAAGTTTTAGCGGGGTCCTCCGAGAAGCGCGGCGCGGAACCTGCCAGCTGCTGCCTGCTCTCGCCGTCAGGCGTATTTCTAGGGGTCTCGGCTGACACATCAACTCAGCTCAGGCCGGCGGCCAGGACTTAACTTTTGTTCTCCTTCAAAGTGAGCCTGTTCATCAGGACTCGTCGCTTTCATCATCTCACGACGCGGTATCCTTAGCCGCGGCTGCATTTTCTGGTTGGCATTGCACCCTAATCCGTAATTCACAATGCCACCGAAAAGAAAAGCGCCCCCGGCGGCGCAGCCGAGTGCTAAGGCGGGAAGGTCGTCACGCATGTCGACTCCCGGCGCCGGGACACCACGCAGCTACGAGAGCGCCGATGAGGTGGAGGAGGATGACGGGCCGGTCGACGAGGTCCTGGAGCGCGACATCGACAAGAACATAGATATCTTCTCGCTCGAGCACTACCAGAAAAAACATCACATTCGCGAGCCACTGCCGCACATCTTTGGTGACCATGACTTCTCGTATCTTGACCTGAAAAAGGACCACCAGAACCGGCCGCTCTGGATCGATCCGCAAAAGGGTAGAATCATCCTGGAGAGCTTTAATCCGCTCGCGGAGCAGGCCCAGGATTTCCTCATCACCATCGCCGAGCCGCTGTCACGACCGACTTTCATGCACGAGTACGCCCTCACGACGCACAGTCTCTACGCCGCCGTCTCCGTCGGCCTATCGCCGCAGGATATTATCAACACGCTCCAGCGGTTCCTCAAGACACCCCTGCCCGAGGAGATTCGAACGTTCATCACGAGTTGCACACAGAGTTACGGCAAGGTCAAGCTGGTCCTGAAAAATACCAAGTACTATGTGGAAAGCCCGGATCCCAACATGCTCCAGACGTTACTCAAGAATCCCAAAATTGGGCCTCTAAGAGTACAAGGAACGGAAGAGATCACGACATCAGCAGCTCCCAAGATCGGCGGTCTGGTGATTCCTGGCACAAAGAATGCTGCTGGCGTGAAACAGGCAAACGGTTTGCAGCAAGGCGGTGGGGAGGGACAGGAAGGCCAGCCGGTCCAAGAAAGCGATGTGTTCGCAACCCTCAACGAGGAGGATGATGATGATCAAGAAGTCACACACTCCTTCGAGATTGCTGACCGGGACGTTGAGACGGTCCAGAAAGAGTGTCTAAACCTGGGATATCCAGTTCTGGAGGAGTACGATTTCCGAAGAGATGAAGTGAATCCCAATTTGGACATTGATCTCAAGCCTGGTACCCAAATTCGACCGTATCAGGAGAAGAGTCTAAGCAAGATGTTTGGTAACGGTCGAGCGAAGAGTGGTCTGATCGTCTTACCTTGTGGTGCTGGTAAGACTCTGGTGGGAATCACAGCTGCTTGCACTATCAAGAAGGGCGTCATTGTCCTTTGCACCAGCTCTATGTCGGTCGTGCAATGGCGTAACGAATTCTTGAAGTGGTCTAACATCAACCCTGACGATATTGTCGCTTTCACGTCTGACTCGAAGGGAAACGTCTTTACTGGAAGTACTGGTATCATTGTCACCACGTACTCCATGGTTACACAATCAAGAGCGCGATCTTATGATGCGGACAAGATGATGAAGTTCTTGACAGGGCGTGAATGGGGTTTGATGTTGTTGGACGAGGTTCACGTTGTCCCGGCCAATATCTTCCGAAAGGTCACCTCGTCGATTAAAACCCATTCCAAGCTGGGACTTACAGCTACGCTCCTCCGTGAGGATGACAAGATTTCCGATCTTAACTTCCTGATTGGCCCGAAGCTATTTGAAGCGAACTGGATGGAGCTGTCCAAACAGGGTCACATTGCCCGGGTGCAGTGCGCTGAAGTTTGGTGCCCCATGCCTACCGAGTTCTATGACGAGTACCTTCGAGCACCATCGCGAAAGAAGGGCTTGCTCTATATCATGAACCCGCGAAAATTCCAAGCTTGCCAATATCTCATCAACTACCACGAGTCCAGAGGCGACAAGATTATCGTATTCTCTGATAACGTGTACGCGTTGAAGGCATATGCGCTGAAGCTCGGCAAAGCGTACATCTACGGAGGCACCGGGCAGGCTGAGCGCTTGCAGGTTTTGGAAAATTTCCAGCATAACCCCAACGTGAATACACTTTTCCTCTCCAAGATCGGCGATACGTCGCTTGACTTGCCCGAGGCTACGTGTCTCATTCAGATTTCCTCTCATTACGGATCCCGGCGTCAAGAGGCTCAGAGACTGGGGCGTATTCTACGGGCCAAGAGGCGAAATGACGAAGGCTTTAACGCGTTCTTTTATTCGCTGGTGTCCAAGGATACACAGGAGATGTACTTCTCCTCGAAGCGGCAGGCATTTTTGGTGGATCAGGGGTATGCATTCAAGGTGATTACACAATTGGCTAACATCGAGAAAACCCCCGGCCTGGCATTCGCGTCCCCAGGGGAGCGACGCGAGCTCCTGCAGAAGGTGCTGGTGGAGAACGAGGGCATGGAGGACGAAGATATCACGGATGATTTGTTCCATAGTGGAACAATGGGTCGCAAGACGAAGAAGAAGGGCGCGGCTCGCCGGACAGCCGGAACGCTCGGAGAACTGAGCGGCGGGCAAGACATGGCATACATTGAGCAGAACAAGAGGCTGAATCAGTCTCTAAAGAAGGGCAAGAAGAAGGAGAGCAGTGCGTTCTTCAAGAAGATTGACCGTGAGAAAGCCAGGAGGGCGGCAGGTTAGTCTAGACTTACCGGATACTGTATGTCTTTGTTCGTATTGTTACACGAGTTGGTGGAACTTGTTTTGGGAACTTTATATATATGGATCACAGAAAGAGGCACGGCGTTAGTCGGTAAGGGACTTGATTGGGTTTTTCAGGCACGCGGGAGAAGCTAGATTGCTCACTTGTTTCATTTTTATATCACATTCTAAAGGGTCGCGGTTTCTTGTGAAACATCTGCAGCCTTACAAGATGGTCTAGAACCACCAAAGGTACTACTAGTTCGTTTACACCGGATCGTTCTGAATACCATTACCCCTTTGCTTGAGCCTTATCAAATGAACCAGCCATGCCAAGGCGGCCCTGGTTTTTCTGTGGAATGAAATCGATGAGAATCGCACGTGCCTCCCTTTCTAACTGAAAGTCCATTATACCTTGATTCAGGTGACGAATCAAGCTGCCGAAAGAGTAGGCATTCCGAGATGCTGTTCGTCTTCCCGTGCCAAGGCCCAGTCTCACCAATGATTCACTGGGAAAAAACCGAGATAAGGGTTTGTCTTGGAACTCAGGAATACTCCTCTCCAATTGGCTGTATAGCCGCGAGGTGACTTATCAATGGCACAGGTCAGAGACAAAGAAGGTGAAGCTAAGCAGTTTTACGTGGCCCGAAGTCTGAGTCTAAAAAACTACCGAGAGTGTCGGGTCTTACGGCACTTTTGTACATGCAGAAGAATGTCTCCGTCCAGGGCTTATATCTCAAGCATAATTTAGCATCTTCAAGCTAAGAAGGGGGTGTGGTTGCAGCCGATGAAACCTGGCAAATCTATAATCACACCTACATAGCTCGGATCACCCGTCATATCCAACTTGGCATCCCGAGATAAGAGAGTCTTGATCAAATCCGCCGCAAGTCCCCGAGCGGCGAGGTATAGTCTGTAGGCAATGCCGAACATGCTCTGAGCTAAGATATGTGATGGCAGCAGGCATGTGTCAGCCTCGTGGGGATGATATCGATAGCCCTCCAGCCTCACGCTAAATATAGTCGTTTCTCTGTGGCCGCCTTCATTGGTATATTTTTTTTTTCTCCGGGTAGAGGGCATGCAGAATGTGGCAGATCAAGTTTCCGCCTTGGCGACGATCCTGTGGCCTGATTCTGATCGGAGATCACGCAGACACACGGCACACGGGCTAGCAAGGGATACGTACATGGTGCCTGCAAATGAGAGCGAGCGGGTGACGCAGTGCATCGATTCATGGCGAGTGGACAAAAAAAAAAAAAAAAAAAGAAGAGGCAGCCAGCCAATTTCCGCTAGGTGCCCGTGGCAAACACGAACTCCGCGCTTAGCCGAATTGCCGGTGTCCAGCTGGCTAATTTCTCTTCTCCCCTCCGCTCGCAATTGCGAGAGAACAGGATTTTATTTCTCTCGTTCAGGGTTCAGTGTTCAGTTGTTGCACCCCAAGCGGGTGCAGTGCAGGTGTGTAGTGGGAATGTAACCGAACTCACAGTTGATGCATGTCTACTGATTACGACAAAGATAGTGTGATACCTGACAGCCTATCAGGGTGTAGCCGTTTCGCGAGTATTTGGTTATTGGTGCAGGCCTGGAATGACATCATGGAGACAGTGAGCACAACCAGTACTTCAGACGGGGCTCTGGTAGAGGCCCCCACCTTAGTGCCTGTCGAAAGGGCTCTGGCTGGTAGGCTTCAGGTACACTGAGCGCTGGGCGTTGCGAACTCAGGAAGGTGCCTTCCGTGCACGCTCCTGCCTTGGCTGTGCCGGGCACCTGCCTGCCAATGGAACAATGATTCAGTCAATTGATGATGGCCGTTCTATTTGCGATACACCCTTGTCCCAGTCTGTGCTTTTCCTCCTGTCGTAGATAATGGCTCCTGGCTGAAACTGCGCACGATTGGCATTATTGCATGGCTGATGCACACCTCCCGTAGCCACACACCATCTCCCAGGACCCTACCATGTCCTGCAGGCGCGCCGCACATATGGATGCATCATCATGGCTGGTCCGACAGACCGGGGCTGCAGGTGGGGGGGCGGCATGGGTGGCACCGCTTGAGGGAACCAGAGCTTGAATCCATCGGGACGTTGCCCCAAGAGAACAACTCGGGAGGCATCCAACCCACGCTATCGCTCG